AAAAAGAGAATTCAAACAAAAAGCACACTCATCTTAATAATGACAAGCATTATTCATAAATATTCTAAATTTGCCTTTAAAATCTAATATGCATATATGTACGTACATAAATCATGATATTTTGAATGGCTATTAACCATTTTAATATAATTTCTTTTGTATGCACAAAGCATTTCGCTATAGATGAGTGTTCAGATCTATACAATTTCAGAAGTTTCTGAGATCGTATAAGTCTTCCATGGCAAATCGGGGCTTAGAGACGAAATTGAGATTTTTATTGAAAAGAATTCACAGGTGCGCGAATTATTCATAGTAAAAATTTCAGCGTAGGTTGATCTATACGCAGTAATTTTACATATGCACATTAGAATGCTACTATCGCTACTCAGGTTAAAATTATATCAAAGACGCATATCAGTATAATGTATGTGTATTTGCACTAAACTATATTACATATATGTTTCTAAGCCCCGATTTAATGTGGAAGGACCCAAATATAATCAGAATAATTGTTGGTGTTTATAAATGAAGGAAAATTTATTGACAAATCGCGTATTCACAGGAATTAATAGTACATATAATAACAATCAATTTTATTAAGGCCAGTATTTTTATATAAATCCAGACTTGTTTATACAACATCCACTCAAAGTATTTTTTTTTAATAACTTACATTTAGTTAAAATGCCGTCTAAACGTTATAATCCCAAGAAAAAAACACTTAAACGATCCAATATTCAATATAAACAACGACCCAAGATTATTCAATATAGACAACACAACATTCAATATAGGCAACAATCCAATATTCAAAATAAACAAAATATAGAAGAAGAGAAAGTGGTGTCTAATGAATTTTTTGAAGAAACAGAATTTGAAAAAGGCCTGGTATCACTTTTTAAACGAGACCTGACACCAAAGGCACCCAATATTATAGACCAGACGCCAAAGGCACCCAATATTATAGACCAGACGCCAAAGGCACCCGATATTATAGACCAGACGCCAAAGGCACCCAATATTATAGACCAGAGGTAATTGAAATTACGGAACTGAGATTACAGATTATTGGGAAAATCAAATAAACTTAAATTTAATATTATTGTAAAGAATACCGTGTTTTGTGGAATAATATTACCCCCCTTAGCATAATATACTTGCTTCCTTTTTTAATAATCTTGATGTAAAAGATTCAATTTATAATAGTATTAATTAAATGTGAACTAACTTACATGTAGTCTTTAATACTTGAATTTTGTTTCTCTTAAAATTTTCGGCCATGTAATAACGATGTTAATCAATTCGAAGGATTGAAAAAAAGAGTAAAGAATATGTTAAAAGCTTAGAATGACAAAAGCAATTCCTATGCACAATGTGAACACCTTAAGTCTTTTATAAAGAACTTAAATATTATCATATGAAAAAAATTATCTACGAATATTGATGATTACAAACGTGGTTATCAAATAAAACCAAATTCCTCCCTTGAACTTAAAAAGAAAATCTTGTGAGCCATGTTTGCTAAACTAGACAGAGCCTCCCAAGGCTGTTGCGGTCAAAGCAGAGATTAAAACCATTTGAAAAAGTTAGTTAATTTCTCAGTGTCTTTCACCCATAATTTTCAAACCAAGTTACTGAAAATCCATCATTAACTTGTTGAATAATAAACAATCAACAAAAAAAAATCCATTAAATCACCATCGTATTTTGTTGCTTTCCACTTGTCCTTCCGTGAGCTATTATCATTCTCTGAAATAATATGACTGACACCAAGTTAAATCGGTACAGACTCTAAATTATTTTTTTTATGACTAAATTTATTAAATACCTGAAGTCGGGTTGAGCGAGATCAAAACTATAGGTGCAAAAGATTCATGTAACTGGGTTAGCTATTGTAAATGCGTCAACATGTCTATATAACCGTAACATAAGTTAGGTAAAAAGAATAGTAACGTTTATGCATTTTGGCGCAGCACATAAATTTTTTATAACAAGCATAATGTCAAACGACCTGACCCTCCTATAAAAATTTTTGGGGTACTACGTCCACAGTTGCATGTCCCCGCATGATTCCGCATATTTGCCCATATGTTGGAATAATCGACTTTTCTGATTTAAAAATTTTCTTATTCCGTATTACTTACTAACTATCGTAATATAGAGTATTGTATTGTATAT